AGTGCCGAATAAAACTGGAAAAAGACTTGAAATCTGTATGAATCCATACCATTTGGTAATCAATTTTTTTGTCATCTTTGGTAGTTTTCAATCTTTTTTTGTAGATGATGTCTCACCACTCCTTTTAAAATGTACAACTTGATTCCACTAAGTCTCCAAACCTTAAACTATGAATTCAAATTGTTGTCTATTTTTCTCTATACAGAAAACTCCTAAAGGTTGAGCAATTGTACTCTGATGGGGAATACAACGCCAATTTTTCCCATTATTTTTTTTTCGGGGGTTTTTAGCATCATTTACAGTCTGAAAGATTTTTTTCCATGTTTTGTACTTATATGCTTTAGTTATCACAAAGTAACATGTAATATCACGTGGATAGCTTTAAATTCTTAGGCTAAAGCTTTAAATAGTACATATCTTACATGTATCGATATTAAGAGAGAATGAGGTTATGGTCTCTTGTTGATACCCATTCCATATAAGGAACTGTGATATGATTATGGGCTCATTAGCGATGGGAATTTTATGAAGTGAGCATCTGGAAATGCAAGGACCCTCGTAACCAGGCCAGAAAATGGGAAGTGCCCTTCTCTTTTAATTCATGATTTAATTTGATTCCCATTTCTTCCTACTTAATTTCTAGGAGTACAAAGGGGAACCTTTTTGTATTTTGGAGCATTGAATGTCTGTCCACTCCGCTCAGAAAAAGTGATGATACCCCGTTATTCTTGAAATTGAAAATGAAACCCCACCTTCCAACTACTTAAAGATCCTCTCGACTCCCCATTATTCTCCCCGTCTTGCGCCTTCAAGATGTGACTGATAAATGACACCTAAATTGTTATGAATAAACTCTTGAGTAGCTTGCAGGTAGAGCAGTGTAGGGCAGTGGAAAATCGCTTTTTGGAGTTCGACTTCAAGGCTTGACTAAATGTAAATTTGAAATGTCTTCACCAGGTCTACAAAACTCCGGACTTCCAAACATCCGGGTTGTACGCGGCCATGCCACGTGACATTCTTCTCGTAGTTGGCGAGGAAATCATAGAGGCGCCTATGGCATGGCGGTCTCGATTCTTTGAGTACCGCGCCTATAGGTCCCTGCTTAAGGAATACTTTAGGGGTGGTGCTAAGTGGACGACTGCTCCTAAGCCCCTCATGAGCGACGACCTATATGATGAGGTACGGACGTGAATGATGGTTAATCCTTGGCTTGAAAAATATCTTTTTTANTGCACTAGTATCGCAGAGGTCAGTGGTTCGAATCCCGTACAAGCCTGATTTTTTTCAGGTCTGAATTTCGCTATTGCATAAATAGCGCCATCTACTGCGAGGATCGTGCATCATACGTAACTAGTATGATAGTTTGTAAAACATAAAATCACTGCATGGAATTCCGTTTTTATTGTCATAACTTTCAGAACTATACCATACGGTCAGTGGAGGACCGCCAGAAGCTGGCTGCTCCAGGACAGTTTGTTACTACAGAATTTGAACCCTGTTTTGATGCCGCTGACTTCATCCGAGCAGGACGTGATATATTTGTTCAAAGGAGTCATGTAAAGCTAACATGATATTCCCAAAAAAATCTTACTGCTCATTGAAACACACTTTGATTAACAGTTTTATCGTTGTCAATAATGAAGCCCTCTACTCGGTCGTATGCATTTTTTTTTTCTCTTAAGACATATGAACACGGTATATTGAACATAAGTCAGATGTGGATTCACATAAGGTAGAAGTAACACACAAGTTGAGAAGTATTCGAAAACTTGAAGTTGTCGCACAATGCATTTATTTCGTTAATTCCATGCCGTTTAAAGTATTTCTGTCCTCTATCTGATAAAGAATCTTAAAAATAATATGGTATTGTTTTGTCTTAGTAGTAGAAAGAAAGAAATCTGAGTGCCCTTATATCCCCTAATGTACCATCTTTCTCGTCGTATTTACTCATAATTCAGCTTGATAAATTAACTGCCTCATTCGTTGCGACAGGTCACAAACAACCTTGGCATTGAATGGATGAGGCGACATCTTGGAGAGCGTGGATATCGTGTGCATAAAATATCCTTTGATGATCCCAATCCGATGCACATTGACGCTACTTTCAACATCATTGGACCCGGACTGGTTCTATCCAATCCTGAAATGCCTTGTCATCAGATCGACATGTTCCATAAGGCTGGGTGGACTGTAGTCAAGCCACCCTTACCTCTTATACCAGACTCACACACTATGTGGATGTCGTCCAAGTGGCTGTCCATGAATGTTCTCATGTTAGATCCGAACAGGGTCGTAGTGGACAAAAACGAGACAACTACGCAAAAGGTGAAAAAAACTTTATTTGATGCATAAGAAGTGAAACAAATTGCATATGAGGTTTTCACTTCGAAATTCTTTTTAGGAGCCAAGATATCGAGTGATTTTTAGCATGGCAGTTACTACCACGGAAACGTCCGAATTCGAAATAAAATCTAGTTTTATTCACTTACCTAAAAGTTTTGAATCAACCTTGTTGAAAATTCAGATGCACACAGCATGCAAACTGGAATATATATCTTCACCTTTAGGTACAAACGGCTGAAAGCAGATTGTAAAAATCTAGTCGGCCCACGTTTGACATTTTTCGTAAAGAGCATCCATAACCTCTTTACTATTGG